GAGAGAGTACTGCCACCAGACTCGAAGGAAGGGTGTTGTCTTTCTGCTCCTGAAAAAACATTCTCTGGATTGATCAAGCTGCCTGAGTGCCTGCTAGTTATGTAGCTGCATTTCTTGGAGGATACTGATTATTATTATTTTTTAAAATATAATTTTATTGAATAATTTTTAACAAGATAAAAACAATACAGATATTAGAAAAGAAACAAAAAATAAGAAAGAATAGTGAATAAGAAAGAAAATAGAAATAGAAAAGAAAAAGAAAGAAAGAAAGAAAGAAAAAAAGATTATAAAGAAGCAGCTTCCAATCTATTTGACAGAGTTTATAAATATATTTATATTTTATCCTCTCTCTGTAAGGTTACATTATAATTTCCTTCTTTCCATAAGCTACCTTTTCTAATCTTCAAACCCATAAATCATAAGTTCATTTTTCTCTTTTTTCAGCATAAAGCCCACAAGGGGTTTCCAGTCACTGATAAATATAGTTGTTGATTTTTCTGTAATCAAAAAGTTAATTTTGCCATCTCTGCTAGTTCTTTCATCTTCACCAGCCATTCCTCCGATGGGGTATTTCAGAGTCTTTCCATTTTTGCGCATGTAATAGAGGATACTGATTATTTTGACCCCTTTTAGTCTGGGGTCAGCCCTGGTTTTGGGATGGAACCAGCTATGGATAGATTTAATTAATTAATTAATTAATTCAATTTAGGTGCTGCCTGACTCCAGACTGACTCTGGGCAGCTCATAATATAATATACCATAAAAATGCAATACAAAACAAAACAAGATAGGATCTGGTCACTTTATACAAAAACATAAACAAAAATATAGTCAATAAGGGGCTCCATCCATCTTACCCAAGGCCTGGGAGAACAACCATGTCTTCAAGGCCTTATGGAATGCCAACAGGATGGGAGCTACATGGGTTTCAGGGGGATCTCATTCCAGAAGGCAGGCGCCATGGCAAAGAAGCACACTTCCTTTGTCCCAATAGATGGCACTGTTTAAAGGAACCTGGAGCATGCCAACTCTGCCAGCATGTACTGGCTGGGCAGAAACCAGGGGACATGGGGGGCGGGTCTGCCAGATAAGCTGGCCCTTAGATGCCATTAGATGATAATGAGATGGATGACCTCTTGTGGGACAGTTTTAGAGAGTAATATTGGGTGAGTGCTTTTACACCCTGACAGCTATGCTATGGGGTGCCACAAGGCATTATTCTCTCCCCTCCCCCATGTCATTTAAGGTGTCTGTGAAGCCATTAAGAGGAGTCATCAAAAGTTTTGGGGCTAAATATCATAAAATGTGCTGACACTTGACTCTATTTCTCTATAACATTCAAATCAGGAGATGCTGTGCAGATTCTGAACCAATGCCTGGGTACAATAATGAGGTGGATCAGGGCCATTAAACAAAGACTGAATCCTGCAAGATGAAGAATGGTGGGTGGGTGGCTCCTGGGTTCAGGAATTGTAGAGCTCATTTGTTCTGATTTATTCTATATGGGGTTGTGCTTACTTAGAAATAACAGGTACATAATTTGGGTGTGCTCTGCACTGCACTGTCTGCCATTAACTACCAAGCCAGGTTCACGATTTTTATTATCATTGTTTAGGCCTTGTGTGCAACTACAGGTAGTCCTTGTTTAGCAACCACAATTGAGAATGGCAACTCAGTTGTTAAATGAGGCAGTCACTAAGTGAAACTATAACTGTGCTTACAATCTTACTATAGCTTTCCTTTGCTTTACAGGAAAGTGAAGGTCGTAAATACAAGGATTGCTTGCAAAGTTACTTTTTCATCACTGTTGTAACTGTGAATGGTTGTTGTATGAGGCAGTCACTAAACAAGGACGACTTACAGGATATCCGTCAGATTATAAACCTCAGGAAGGTCCTGCATCATGTACTGAGAATTACTAAATGCCGTCTGGTGGCTAGTCACAGTCTGATCTTCTCGGTGGCAGTGCCTACACTCTGAAATGCTTTCCCCCTAAAATTTGTGGAGGTGCCTACTATACTATTATCTAGGCACCCCTTGAAAATTGCTTCTTCAAGCCATAGAGTTTTTATTAGTCCATCCTTCCCCAACATGGGTGCCATCCAGATGTATTAATTTCATCTCCCGGATTTCTGAGTAATAGGTCATGCTGGCAGGGAAGTTCTGGGAGTTGTTCCATAAATCTGGATTGTATCAAGGTTAGGGAACTTGTACTTAGATTAATTGAAGATTTGTTGCAAAGTTTTGATTTTTCAAAATTCTTCATCAGACAAGATGGTTGGAAAATGTGAGGGTGAGGGGAAGTGCTTGTGTTTGAGCTTTGTCTATACCAGTGTGAATTCTTAGAGGATATTAGGAACTGTCTCCAATTGTGTTATTATTTATAGAATTTATATTGGGCTGCACCAAGGAATCTCCAAAAGTGGGGGGGAAATCAAATTTTTGTCAGACTCCCATTTTTGTAAATACAAACTCCAGTCTAACCTTACCACATGAACAGAACCATATGTGTCTTATGTGTTTACTTGATAAAAATACAGGTATGCGCTGGTTACTAAAAATTACAATATTTGCTGTAAATGTTACAATATTAAATTGTGAACTGTATTTTCAAAGTCGTTAAACAGAATATTTTTTTATAGATCATTTCAAAGATTCATCAGTATTTTGCCCCATTAACACTTTTACTTATTTATTCTCTTTGTCTCAATAGCAACTTTTTAACTGTCAGTCTCTGCACAAGTTGAGTTTGCCAGACAATGATTTAACAACATTGCCTGCATCCATAGCAAATCTCATTAACCTCAGGGAACTGGATGTCAGCAAAAATGGTGAGTTGTTTTTCTTCATGAACACCAAAGAACAAGACATAACAGTGGGCATTCAGATTTCTGAATTCTATGAAAATAACTTTGGGTTCAAAGATCCAAAAGTGTGATAGTACATGCAAATATTTTTTTCTTGAATCAGTCCATTTCACTGAAACAATTTTCGTCTTCCTTTTAGAAAAGCTTTATGTTTTGGCATGGCACAACTAAAGTTAAAAGAAAATAACCTGTATAATACTTTCCTATGCAAGCAGGCTGAATTGGAGACAACAATTCTGGAAGATGCATATATTTTATATCACATTAACTGGAGAGCTCTTATCTGTTTGTGCTAGAAAACATTTTTACTTGTTTGTTACTGGCTTGCAACTAGATTAGTCATTATACCAGCCTGTCAATTACTACTTGAGGTGGTAAAATTAATATCTCCTTTGAGTCAAGCTGGAAACTTTATGGACACATCCTTTTAGTTTTCATGGTCTGCCATTGTCTTCTTCTGTGTTATTTTTATGACAAGCTTAGGGTTTCCTGGTGGTCTTCCATCCAAGTACTAACTAAGTCTGGTCATGCTTAGCTTTGCAAGATCAGTAAAAATTGCTTAGGTGCTTCTACCTAGCTGGACAAAGACAATATCAAGTTGAGCTTGATTCCTGTATTCAGGTGCCTGTGTTCAGGCATGCAAATAGAAGAGGAGCATGTAGATGCAAAAAGAATTGTTAGTTTTATGAACAATACAAACCTAAGTTGGGAACCCAGATTGACATTAATTATTGCTCAAATCAATTAGCTTTGTTTAAAAGAAATATATTACTGGAACTTGTAACAAAATACCTCAATGTTTGATGCTTTCTGTTTGGAATTTCAGCATCACTGTTCCATTTTTCCTTTTTTCCCACTGGCAGTTGGTTAGCATTCCATGTTTTTATTAATTGGGCTAGTGTGTGTTGTGTTCCTTTTTGCTTTGTCCCTAAATACTATTTATTTGATTAATTTCTGTGTCAGCAAATTTTAGAGCTTCCCCAAATCTGCTTGTCAGTAGGGCCTGCATGAGAACTGAGATTACCATAAATATTTGTGATCTACTTTAT